AATGCGTGTTATTAATGTAATTTAACTTTCTTTTATAATTATTAACTTTTTGTTTGATATTAACTTAGCAAAAATCCTACAAGTATTGCTTTTGAAAAATTAACTTTTAATTGCATTTTAATTATTAATTGATTTCAATGCATCTTCAACTTGAGATAAATGGATTTTTTCTTCAATTTGTTACAGGATAGCCGAAATGAGTTTAGTGTTGAATTATACTGTGTAGATGTTAAATATATTCTTTTGTGCTTGTGTATTATTATAAAATTGTACTCTTTATTATTAGAAAACATAGAATATGATGTACAAATCAGTGCATGTCATCAACAATTGTTCCTCAATTACCTTTCTTATTTCAGATATTATTAAAATAGTGCATGCAAAAGTTATAATTTCTTTTTAGATCAAAGTGTTATTTATGTTTAATTATTATCTTTTATGTAGTGCCTAATTTTGTTGTTTCTTGTCTGTAACTGATAAAACACTTAGTTTACAAACGTGTTATTAAATTATCTGCTTTAAAACAAAGCATTTTCTTCTATCTAAAAACTTATGTAATCATATTCATTCTTTTAAAGGTTAGAAGGAAAAAATTATAAATAACAAATAAAGAAAATACTTAAGAACCATGTTTGTATTATTTAATATGAATAGTAATTAATATTATTTGTCTTAATTAAAACAATTGAAAATAATTTAATAATGCATTTAATAATGCTATAATTTGATAATTTGATAGCTAAAACAATAAAAATTATCTACTTATGCATTTAAAAAATACCTTCTAGTACTTTCTCTTTGGGATATATGAAAATATATCAGAGGGTAAAAAAAGTTTTAAAATAAAAAAATTTGAAATTAAAAATCATTCTTCAACGCAATTTTCAACAAACTGCATTATTTAATAAATTATTCAGTCTTATTTTAGTAACCTTAAAAGTCTTATATGTGCTAAGCTTTTTTCTCAAACATTCCTAAAAAAAATTATCTTTACACAAGTTTTTTGCATAATTTAATTTATGTTACTGAAAAACTTTATGACTTAGTTTTGAAAGGATTTGATTTTAGTTTCAGTAGTTGATTAGGTAAGAATTTTATATTTGGGCAAGTTTGAAAAAGAATTTTTCTTGTCAGTATAAGGTTAAAAGGATAAGAAAAATGTGTCAATTCATTTCTCATAGGTTCTAACTCTCAATATCCGTATTTATCAATTAGAATGTGCGTAATATTTGTAAATTTATTTCTTTTACAATTAGTTCTAATAAAAAAAGACTGTTTGTATTCATTGCTTGATAAATACTTGTTTTAATTTTTAAAAAATCTAATTTAAATAAATCATCACCGAATCAACCGGAGAGTATTTGTGGAGATAATTTTTTATGCCATTTTATAAATTACAAGATTTTTTTAAAGAAGTAATAATGAAAATAATTAGTGTAAAAAACAACTGAAAATTGTCTTACCCTACAACTTTTTTGAGATTTGCGTAAAATTTTTCTCTTAAATTGTTTTGTAGTATAAACTTCTTTAATTTGCATTTTATAATGTTGACTGTGGCATTTTTTTGTTGTCAAATCAATTTAACTAATTGTTTGGTTAAAACTAATTTTCATAAATTAGACTATTTGTTTTTTCCCTTTTGCACTTAAATTTTTTTTTATAATGTCCTTACAGAAATATCATGACTCATAATACATCGGTTCATGGTGAACAGGGAAAACAGGAATTCTCAGGAAATTGTATTTTGACTCCAAAAAGCTGGGAATAGTTAGAAAAAGTTGCAATATTTTACAAAAACCTAGAAAAGTCCTTCATCATACCTGAAAAATAACTACTTTCAGAATTGTCAGTAGCAGTAATCAGTTATAGAGATTTGAGTTAAATAATTCTAGCATCTATTACAATTATTTGTTGTAAAAATTTCACATTTTAGGGAAATTTCCATGTTTCCTTCCTCATTAAATGGTATTTTTTTGCTCACAAAATTTAATATTTGCCATTGTAAATAAAAAATAAAATGTTTTGGTTGAAAAAAAATCGCATTGTATAAATAAAATATGGTCTGGATTTTAATAGAAATTTTCCTGATATACCTGGAAAAGTCAGGGAATTTTTATTCTAAAATTGATTAGAAACCCTTTAATAATAATTATTTTTCAGAATTTATAGGATATCAGTCATAATTTATAATAAATTCATAGGTCATAAATTATGGAAAATTATGGTAATAAAATTTAATGTTATTTTGTTTGTCATTAGTTTTTCAACTATTTCTGAAAATACTTGTTTGGGATGCACATCTCTGTCAATTGTTTAAAATAAGAGTACAAATTTTTTCATTGTATAAATTGGTAGAAAATTCAGTACTAATTTGGTCTTTTAGATGTAACTAGTATCACAAGATTCTTAACTTGATTTCACATCTTATTTTTTTCTTAACACTTACTATTTGTTTGTGTCTATTATGTTGTATTATTTTATTTTAAATCAAATATTCTACTCAATGAGTATAAGGTTAGAAAAAGGTATTTTTCTTCATATGAAATGATTTTCTTAGCTATGAATTTGTGTTATATGTGTGTACTTAATTAGCATGAGAAATTGTTTACTGTTGTTTGGTGAGCTTGTTCAGTTTTGTCTATAAACTATAAAGGGTATAAACATATATGTTAATTTATATATTTTTTCTTTGTTGTAGTTTAAGAATATATAACTTTGATAACATAATATAAAAGATTTTTTAAATATATAATTGTATAAATGTTATAATTTTTTTAATCACTGATATTTTAAGATTTTCCATTATTATTTTTTGTTTTGTTTTTTAAATGAATAATGCAATATTTACTACATCATAATCTATCAAAAAACTGTTTGTTTTATGAAAATTGGTGATAATAAGTTCAAATTAAATTGGTGTCACGTAAATAATATGAAAGCAAAAAATTAGTGCTCATTTACAAATTGTCTAAACTATGTGAATTTGCTTGTAATTTAAATGTAAACTTGACTGAATTTTCAAGCCAACATTTGAATAAAGAATTCTATGGAGTTCTTAACAAGTGAAATATGAGGTATAATTAATATAAATTTTTTTACTTTGGTGTCAGATGTAAAAATTTTAGTGTCAGACATAAATTTTTTTATTTGGATATAAATTAAATCAGTGATAACAATAATAAATACTGAAAATTACTTTCATTTTTTTCTTAATTCTATAAACATTATTTTTTCTATTAAAAAGCTTCTTTAAATTTAAATTGTCCTCTATTTCCTGTTGGAATGGGTGTTTTATAAAATTTTCCAGTGTGTAAAAGTTAGTTAAAAAATCACTAATTTTAATTTTAACTGAGCAGCATTTTTTAACAACAATGTAAATGCAACTTATATTTAAGCAATATGTCTTTCAATCTAATAATATTAAAAATCCGGGAATAAAAATAAATTAACAACTGTCTCTAAAAAATTTTCTATTTTTTCTAAATAACATGTAAAAAAATTTAAAAAATGCAGAAAAGTTTCACAATTTTTAAATACAATAAAATCATCTATTGAAAAATGTTACTGTACTTTAAAAGAAGGACAAAAAAACACTTTAGTACTCTATTATCCGTCTATAAAAAATTTTCCTGCAAACCCGGCTCCCCCCAAAATGATCTTTTCACGCAGGTGAAATGATAATTTTGATACCATATTTATGACCTGCATAAAATTAAATTATTGTTTTATACAATTTTCAGTTTTTATAATCATTGTATTTGATGCATCAAAACAGAGATTATATTAATCCGTATACTACACCTTTGTTTTTATTAGCAACGTTTGGAGCTTTACGTCTAATGAATGCATATGGCAACCCTTTAGCAAGCATTTGTGCTAACCTAAGTATGAGTAGGTGCTTAAAGTCAAGAAAAGTTTCTGAATATAGGCATAAGTTGCATTTCTCTAAAAAATAACAATAATTACAGAATATTCGGTAAAAAAAAATTTTTTACTTTGAATGCATACACTTTTTAAGCTCTTCTAAGCAAAATGATTAATTTAAAATGTTCTAAATGAAGTTAAGTTGTTTCTCAAAAAATTTAAACTGAGTTGTTTACTCCAAAAGAAATACTTATAATAAAATGAAATAAAATAAAACTTCACTAATCAATTTTAAATTTAATAATAACAATGAATTTAAGAATGATCAATTTTAAATTTAATAAATGACTTTAAGTACAACATAGTTAAACAGATTTCATTAGGTTACTGAAGTGAAATTTATTGTTCTAAATTAACTCCTAAAAGAATATTTAGATGGTTTCTATTCATATTTCACTTCATTTCATAAAGGAGCAAAATGTGAGATGAAAATAGATGATAAATGGAATGAAAAAGTAAAGCAGTGGTGTCGAACATAAAAATAATTAATGTCCATCTTTGGAATTTTTTTTTCTTCTGCTAATCGAAAATGGTAAATGTTTCTACACATTTGGGCAAGATAATCTGTTTTGATTATCTTGCTTTACTGTACTTATTAAAGATTCGCTTACTGTGGTTAGAAATTTCAAATGATGTAGCCCTTTATTTAAGAGCCTATAGCTGATTGATAACTTATGTTAATAAGTTTAAAGTTATTATTTCTAAATCTTCAGTTTTTAACTGGAAAATTACACCTTGTTTGCTTAAAAATATTAAGTTCAAAATTTTGGTCACCTGGTTTGAATTGCCCTACTAAAATAATGTGCAGTTTTTCTAACCTCGGATTTCACTCTTAAATTGAAATTATTTTTTTTTTTAAAAAAAATTCGGAGTTTCAAGAAATCATTTGTGAAAGTACCGATAAATGGCATTTAATATTTATTACATTCAAATAATTTTTTTAGAACTTTATGTTTACTTGTTTAATCTCATCTTTGATTTATTTTTGAAATTTAAATTAAAATAACTTAATGCCATGAAAAAATTTAAATTGTGTAATATAATGATTAATTTTAGTTTTACTTTTTTTCTTATAGGAGGCTGATAAGGGTGCTGAAGATGATGAATTGTGTGAAGGCAAGCAAGTTCTTGTTGGTATATGTGCGATGTCTAAAAAATCTCAATCCAAGCCAATGAAAGAAATTCTGACTCGCCTCGAGGAGTTTGAGTACTTGAAAACGGTTGTCTTTCCTGAGGAAGTCATTTTAAATGTTAGTTTCATCCCTTTCATTCTCAACTTATATCTTTGATTGCCATTTGAAGAAAGTATTTAAACATTATTACCACATGTGCAGCAGTATATAAAAAAATATTGTGCTTAATCATTTCAAGTGTTTATTAAAGGAATTCATACAGTATTTGTCTCGGTACTGTATTTTTTACAAATTTATTACTGAAAATCATAAATATTTGATGTTGTAACATTTATTCAATTCAAATCATACTTTCATTCAATATTTCCGTGCCTCAGAATTCTATTAACACAGTATATTGTTTGGGAAATTTGATATTTCTAGATCAATCGCAGTGTTGTTCCAGTTAAACTAACTTATATTATGTTTACATTGGTCAATGTTTTCATCACTTAAGTAAAATTTGCACTCAAAATAATATCATATTCAATAATTATTATCAATATCAATAATAACATTAAAGGTAAATACCTTTTGGGCATTAAATGGTTTATGTTATGTGATTAGTAATTTATTGTTCATAAATTATTAATAATTTTGGTATTTTTTCAGGAGCCTGTTGAAAAATGGCCTCTTTGTGATTGCCTAATCTCATTCCATTCCAAAGGATTTCCTCTTGCAAAAGCTGTAGAATATTCTAATCTTCGGAAACCATTCATCATAAATGATTTATTTATGCAATATGACATTCAAGATAGGTATAAATTTCATCACTCTTGCATGATCATTGATTGAAACAGATTTGTATTTATAATACCTTTTTTTAATTGTTTATTCTATATGGCAGCTTATTTTTAGAGGTATATTTTGAAAAGATAAAAGTATATAATTTTTATATTCCATTATTACTTCAGCATCCCAAATCTGAAATGGCAAAAAAAGTTACAGTGAGAAATTTTGATGCTATCAATTTTACAGCAAAAGATCAAACTGTAATTCTTAAAATTGCTATTTATTTTAAACAATGGGATACCTGCAAGTGACGTAGTAAGGGTATCGCAATCCTGATTGGTTGTTGAAACATGGCATTTGTTTACATTAGCAACTGTTCTTTCCATTCTATTTCGAGTAAGTTAAGCCTGTTAAGTATTAATTCTCATAAGTGACACATTCTATATTCTTTCATAAAGATTCTTTCACTAGGATTTCAATACTTTCGCTATATGTTTCTCAGCACAAAAACTTTTCTATTTGCTGCTCTCTTATATGGAAGGTTTAATACATTATTTTAGCTTCAACTTATTTTAGCTTTAGTGTATGAAACTTATTTAAAATGTTGCTTTACTTTTTTAATTTTATTCATACATAGTATTTATTAAGATCTCTTGTTCATCTTTTTTTAGGCGTAAAGTATATAGTATTTTAGAGAATGAAGGAATTGAGCTTCCGAGATACGCTGTTTTAGACAGGGAATCAGATCTTCCATCAGGTATGCTAAGAGGTGTGATATAATTTTAATTATTCCTTCATAATATAAATTTAAATATAGTTTCTATATCTTAAATTGTTTTGCGACAATTTTTATGAAATGATTTCAGATTGTTTGATTTTCATAATTTCTAAAATATGCTTAAAATAGTTTTTTTTTAAAAGAAATTATGTAAAGTTATCCTTATGCTGAATTTCAGCTCCTTTTTTTGTTAATATTTGACAGTATTTTGGATTTAAATGACATTACATATGAGTTATAGATTCTAATAAACATTTTAGCGCAATATCTTCAAAGTGAGCACTTTCTCTGCTTAAACTATCATGAGATCAGCATTACCTTTCACTATTAAAATACCTGAAAATATTTATTGACAAATCTGTCTTTCTTTAAAAAAAAGAAGATTTAAAGCAAGGTTCTATCATGGCAAGGAAACAAGAATTGCTTGGGAATATGATTTTGGCAAAAAGAAAAGTTCGGGTATATGGAATTTTAGAATTATTTCTTGTATGCATTCCACACCTACATGGTAAATTTTTTCCTTCTAAATTAAAATTAGAATATAAATTTGTATAAAATACTCTTTCTTTAGCAATTTCTTGTTTCAATTTTTTTCTTAAATATAATTATATTTTTTGACCCGCAATAATATTCTCTAAACCACAGTACTAGTTAATTATTTTAAAAATTAAGCTTTCTGTATAAATTAATTTTGGTTCTTAATAATCTTAATCTCAAGGGTGATATATGCTGACTATATGACTGATATTAATTTATTAATAAACTATATTACAATGTGAGTTTATAAATTTTTGAAGTTCTTCTGCTGAATTTTTCTTCTATTTGTAATTTATATGTTACTGCATAATAAAATTTGCAAGTTTAACCTTCGTGTAGGGAAATTCTGTTTCTTACAAAATGCCATAATTTCTATTAAAAAAGTTTTGTTGCTCATTAAAACAAAATTTCTGTATTTTTGATTAAATATTTCAGCAATTACTATTAATGTGCTCTTGAATTTTATTGACTTTTTTCTGAAAGAGTTAGATAAATTTATTTTATAAATTGAGTGAAAACTGCAAATATTACAGCAATGGAATTATTTTTGTCCACAATTGTACCAATTATATTAAATAAATGTTAAAATCCTATTTTAATTTTTTCACATTAATCATGCTTTTTTATTTACACATAATGAAAAATTTTATTAAATAGTTTATTTGTTCACATAAAGCAAATATTTCTATAATTGGTTGTATTCAGAATAGAACATAGCAACTAAACTGTTATAAATGCAACAAGTATTTATCATATATTGGGATGTGTCCATGGGTGCAAGTCTTCCGTTGATAAATATTTTGTTGAATAAATATTGACAGTTGAATAAATATTTTTTGTACAGTATTTAAACTTGATGTATTATGGTAAAGCTTTCTTAGATAGTTTGCATATGTCGAGGGGGTTTTGTGTATGTTAGGTATTTCAGTCAAAAAAATTTCAGTCTTGGCCTTTTTTCCAACTTGCACCCATGGATGTGTCAATACATATTGGTTACACACAAACTTATAGGATATTGAAAAATGGGAGGAAATAACTACTGTGAGGTAGAAAGGACATCAATATAACATTCGATTGATATATGAGCAGTTTTTATGTATTACATCATTCAACTCTTTTTGTTAGTTTTTTTTCTCCCTTCTCATTTATAGCCTTATTCTTTAGTTAGAAATTTTTTTTGCGTTAATAAAAATAATGTTACTGAAATCCTAAGTAATATTCAATAAATTAAGTTGCTGCTTTGAAGTTATCAAAGTTTGAGTGCATTTTACTTTAATTAATTACACTGATCATTAGTATTTCACATTATTACAGAATTGGTTGAGAGTGAAGATCATGTGGAGGTGGATGGAGTGATATTCAACAAACCCTTTGTGGAAAAGCCGATATCTGCCGAGGATCACAATATATACATCTACTATCCAACATCTGCCGGTGGTGGAAGTCAAAGATTATTCAGAAAAGTCTGAGCCTTAAATTTTTTTTTTTATATCTCATTAGTTTAATTGTATCTTGTTTCATTTGAACTTGAGAATATATATTAAACAAGTTCAAATGTAGTTTTAAAGAAATATAAAAGTTTTCTAATATTTATAACTGTTTCTAACTTTTTTCATTTATTTAATTGTTAAATTTTCCATATATTTAATAATCGGTATAAAATTGTTATAGAAATCTTTTCTTCCAAAATTTAATAAAGTAGTGTTTCATAAAAGGTTATTTGTCATTTTTTTTTTATAATCAAGGAATTCTTTAGTTTCATTAAATATTTAAAAAAAAAAAACTGACAAATCCAATGTAAAATTGAATAGTTGGTTAACTTTTGTTTGCTTGCTAATGAAATTGGGCTAATTTCAGATTGGCAGTAGAAGCAGCGTTTATTCTCCTGAGAGCAGAGTTAGGAAGTCAGGGTCTTTCATTTATGAAGAATTTATGCCTACAGATGGTACTGATGTTAAGGTTGGTACTTGTAGTTCGATTTGATTAATTATACATATTTTTTTGTTTATTTACGTAAAAATGAAGTTTATGTATTTTTCATCATTTATTATTTACACATTGTTTTTTGATTAAAGTAAAAATCATGAGCAAAAATTATTTACCATAAATAGCATTTATACGATATTTCTCAAATATTCTACTTTATTACTTCTATATGAGAAAAATTTAAAAATAGTGCGAAGTATTTTGGGAGGTGTAAAGTGTAATGATAGCTGAAAAAAAAATTAGATCTTTATAGAATCTACAAAGAGTTAGACATAATAAAATTTATATCAGTTCAAAGACTAAAATGAATCCGAAAAAGGATCCGGTGGATCTACTGTCTAGAAAATAATTTAAGAGTTCTCAAAGTTATAAACTGGAAGAGTCTATCCAAGAAGAAAGCAGCTTGGAACTTGCTTCTCAGAAAGGCCCTTGCCCACTCTGGGCTGGCATGCCATTGAAGAAGTAGAAAATTTAAGAAATTCAAAATTCAATTCCCTTCAAAATATTGACTGAAGTTACAGAATTAATGGTGTTTATTTTCTTCATTATAGCACATAGTTTATTATAAAACTCTTTCTTAGAGACTTTACAAATTACTAATTTATGTTATTTAAAAAATTATCATTTTTTCTTTTTATTATTGATTTTTATAACATTTTCATATTTGGTGATAGCTTTGTTGATGTAGATTGATGTACGCTTTGAAACGATATGTTTTATACTGTTTTGGACGTTAATTTAGCCACCCACTTGTTCAAACATCTTTTTTTGTTCTTTGATGTTTTAAAAAAGATTTCTTTCAAAGCCAACAAATATGTATCGCATGCAATAAACCATTTTAAATTACTCTTCAGTTTCACAATAAATAAAAGAAAATTCACCTTTTACAGAAAAGAGACACTTAAAAAAAAAGAAAATCTACTTACTTTTGTGTTTAACAGTTTTATTTATTTTTGTAGGTTTACACTGTTGGACCTGATTATGCGCATGCAGAAGCTCGAAAATCCCCTGCTCTAGATGGCAAAGTTGAAAGAGATAAAGAAGGAAAAGAAGTTAGATATCCTGTCATTCTAAGCAATGCTGAGAAACTTATTGCTAGAAAAGTCTGTTTAGCTTTTAAGGTATAAAAACATTTATCAAATTCAATCTTAATTCTTCTATCTTAAAATTCAGGTTACTGTATGACAGGGATGCATCTACCTTTTTTGATAAACCGAAGAGTGTTAACATGCATAAGGAAAAACTGTTTTCATAAAAATGTAAGATGTATGTGTATCCTGATTAAAAGTAACATGCAAAATTGTAATCATAATGATGTGTAATATATAGTTTGTCTACGCTAAGAACTCCCCCCACCACAATGTCTGAGGTCGTCTACTGCTATGAAAACAAGAATAGTGCATTTCAGGGAGGGTAGTTTCTCTTAATTTTAGAGCTAACACAATAAATCAAAGAAAAATATTCAATTTTTCTCGTCGACTAGACCGAGCCAAAACCTGTCCTAAACAATGACCTTCTTGAAATAGTTATACCTCGTTACCTTAATCACCGCCATGGGTCCAGACGAATGGCTAGGGGAGTTCTTACTTTAGACAAGCTATATGTAAGAAATTGCATCTCCTGCAAGCACTGAACTCATCTCCAAAATTAAAACTTGAAAAATAAAATGGTTCAGGTTTGCATTAAAACAATAAGTAAATAAAAGAGCAAGATAACCAGTAAAAAAATTAAAGAAACTAGCTTTCTAATACAGCTGTATTTCAAGGTACTCTTTCTTAAATTTTATTTCACTAAAAAAACTTAATATATTTCTTTCTCTTCTGGGGCCACTTTATAAACTTAAAAGGCGAACTTTGCCCTTTGCTCCATAAGTTGTGCATCCCTGCTGTAACATACAAAAGAGTCATGCATCCAAATTTTAGTGATCCCAGAAAATATATTTTTTCTGATAGTAGGTCTTTAAGGCTAACATAAAACCTAAGCATGAGTTGCTTAGTAGAAAAAGAAAGGAGGAAAAAAATAAATCAAAATCAAGACTATTATTTGTTACATTATGTTTTATCCTTGTTTCAATGACAACTAAAAAATATCTAAGTAAGGCATTACTGCAACAAATAATTGTGAGTCAGAGGGGTAATGTAGTCTCTACAAATTTACGTGACCAACAGCTTAACTGTTGCAGTGTGGTCATCATTTCATGGAAGACACTTTTTATTTCCCAGACTGGTACCAATCAATCTGAATCTGGGTGGGCTTTAATCATCCACTGAAGATCGAATCCCAGTCCTAAAAAATCTATTGTGCTAAAGTAAATGCCTTTAGATAAAATAATTTTAAATAAAAAAAAATGAGTTGATAAAAATAAACCAAGAAAAGAATTTAATTCTTTTTTTAAGAGATATCTTTCTTCTGTCAAAAAGTGTTTTGAAAATTGGCGTCTCGATCTAAAACTTTGCACTGTCATAAAGAACTAGCCTAAGTTTTATTTTTTTTAAATTAATGAAATTATGATTGGCAGATTCAGTAGTCAATAATGCTGTTAAAGAAATATTCTGGAATTAAAAATGACCAAAAAATTTATATAAAAATAATATTAAGAAAATAATTATCTTGAAAAGGTTTCTATAGTTAATGTAATAAATATAGTTAATGTAACAAATAAATATAGTTAATGTAATAAATAAATATATTTCACTCTTTGAATTGAATTTTAGCAAACTGTGTGTGGTTTTGACCTTCTGAGAGCGAATGGAAAATCTTACGTTTGTGATGTGAATGGCTTTAGTTTTGTTAAAAATTCAATGAAATATTATGATGATTGCTCTAAAATTCTAGGGTAAGTATTTTTAAATAATGAAAAAAGCTGTTGTTCTTACATACTTCTTAAAAAAACAACTGCTATTGCAAACAAGAATTTGTATTGTAAAATATATGTTTCTGATAAATTTTTTTCCATGATATAAAATAGAAATCTATTAATAATATAGTGTCAATTTCAGAATTGCAGAAGTTAACTAAATTTTATATGTAATTACATAATTTTGATTTAGTTAAAATTTATTGGCAGGCATTTAGTTATAAAAGTAAAGAATAAATACAAAAGCATCCATTGTCATTCTTCTCAAAATCAGATGATTTTTTTCGTGTCTTTACAAGTTCCTAATTTCTATTAGCACAATTAGCTTTTTTCTTCTTTTTTTTAATATCTAAATTATAAGTGGCAGAAAAGGATGTTAGAGGAAAAGTATTTCAAGTATTACTGGTACAGTAGGGAACCGATTATCCGGAACGATCGGGACCATCGCTATTCCGGATAACTAATTTTTCCGGTTTTCTGAATCGCTACAAAAAGCCGCTTTTTTATTGTCAAACTCGACTGAAAATTTTTTTTTTTAAAAAAATAATCTTAAAAAGAAGAAAGTAATATACATAAGTTTAATAAGAAAAAAAAAGGAAAAGAAAATAATGAAATAAAAGTATATACAGGCTTAATGTAAAATGAATAAAAAAGGTAAGAAGGAAAAAAAAGGGGGGTTGGGCCCCATCTTCCTCGTCGCTTACTTCAACTTCGTCGTTGTCTGCATCAGGACTCAAAACTAGCCATTCTTTTTTTTACTTCATTATTAGCAAATGAAAATGGAAAAATCAGGAGCATTTCTTTTCCCTCCTCTGCGCGAGAAAAATAACGTTTGAATATAATTCTAGTTGGAAAAAAAATTCTTTCAAAAATTCCTGGAGAAAGGAAAAACACAATTTCTTTTTACTTCATTGTTTTTTTATTACTCTCAAATCAGAAGAGAAAAATCGCGAGCGTTTCTTTCCCCTCCTATGCACGAGAAAGACATCGTTTGAGTATAATTCCGGAAGAAGAAAAAAAAAAAAAAAGGAAATCCTTCAGAAAAAAAAGAGAATCCTTCAAAAATTTCTGGACAAAGGAAAAACACAATTTTTTATTTAATTATTCTTTATTACTTTCAAATTAGAAGAGAAAAATCGCGAGCATTTCTTTCCCCTCCCGTTTGAATCTAATTCTGGATGGAAAAAAAATCTTTCAAAAATTTCTGGAGAAAAGAAAAACAATTTTTTTTTAACTTCATTATTTTTTATTATTCTCAAATGATAAGAGAAAAATCGCGAGCATGCGAGAAAGACATCATTTGAATATAATTCTGGATGGGGGAAGAAAAAAAAAAAAAGAATTTCAAAAATTTCTGGATAAAAGGATAACAATTTTTTTTCTTCCTTCATTGTTCTCAAACATTTATTTTCCCTCCTCCTATGCGCTAGAAATACATTGTTTGAATATAATTCTGGATGGAAAAAATAATCTTTCGAAAATTTCTGCAAAAAAGAAATTTAAAAAAAATAAACTTCCCAAAAGAAAAATCTTTCTGCAAAAAACTCTCTAACGTTCTGCGACACTATCTATCGCTGTGATTCTGGCACGTGATTTCTATCTAGAAGAGTTTAACTTGGGTTTCAACATTTTGCTAAAACATTAATCAAAATTAAAAGGAAAAACAGGTGTATCACAATCTTATTCCTCATTATGATTAGCTATTTTATTTCTCCTCCACTCCAGTTGAACATAAATTGGCAAGCCCACACAAAAGCTGACAATAAAAAGAATTTATGTTCTACCATGTTCTGCCCCTCCTCACACCCCATTCAAAATGAATGAATTTGAAAACAGGTGCAGTTGCAATACTTGGCCTTGAGTTATTATTCCCGTTTCTTTGGTTTCTTTGCTGTTGCTATGTTAAATGGGGAAATAGCAGAAATGACAGATAATTTTTAAAAAAATAAGAAAAAGTAGAAAATAACAGGAAAAAAAAAGAAGGGGTGCAGAGATTGTAGGAAAAATAGGAATTCTGCAGTCCCTGTAGGGAGTACTTTAAGAGATTTCTAAGAATCAAAGAGGAATAAAATTATTTCTTTTTAATTCTCCTGGACTAAACAATCAACAGACATGATGACTCCTATTGTGAGAAGTTGGTTGTAATGACTCTCTCTACTTAGGGCCTGATGATAAGAAAACAAGTATTCAATGAGTCACTCTTCACTGAGCTATGATTGAAAAGAAAAAACTATGTAGGGGGTGAGGAAGGGAATGATTGATGATATTTAGTACAAGACTCTTACTTCTCTTGACAGTGTAGGGAACTAATGATTATTTCTGAAATGATGGAAGTAAACATCTTTTAAAAAATCCTAAAATCATAGGAGGAAAATTTTTTTTATTTATTTTTTATTGGCGGGAAAATGTATCAAATTTCGTTCCGGTTTTCTGATTTCCGGATAAAAGGTTCTGTACTGTACTTATATTTTCAGCAAGTTTAAAATTTTAAATCCCTAAATTTTGAAACGTTAAGAATATTTCTTTTTGCATCAGACTTTTCAAGTAATGTCAATCCCACATTTCTAAATTAGTGACTCATTAAATGCATATTCCAAACATAAAAATGCGTAATTTTTATTTTTCGAAGTCTTTTTATTTACTGACTAAATTTTAAAAATTAGAGATACATTTTAAAATTGTTCTTACTACAAATTTAAGTTTTTTTTTCTTCTTATTTTATTTATTAGTAGGTTGATTTACAGCATATATCTGTGTAAAAGTCGATCCCCTATTTTTGATTATGAGATAGCAATTTCCTGGTACGTTGAGTGTATAAATTGATGGTTGTGGGTTATTATTCCTATAGATGTCATGTGTCAAATGATACTAGACACTGAGTAAAGTGTGGATTCAAATGTTATGGTAAAATATTTTATAGAAATGTGGAATTTAGAATTCTTTCTATGGGAGTGAGGATTTTTTTGGGGGGACTCAGAACACTGTTAACGTTAATGAATCTGACACAAATGATGGTCTGGAATCTTTAAATGTGTAGCTTTATGTTATGTTTCAAAAGTTTTCATTGTGTTATATATTTTGAAATACTCTTGAATACATTATCTTAACATTTCTAATTCCAACGTAATTTAAAGCAATGTTTTTTTTTTAAATTTTTAAAAAAAACTCATATATGTAAAGAAAATACGATGAGAGGAAATGCGAAATTAATTGCATATAACGTATTAAAAATAGTTTTTGAAGGGTGTGATTGTTATGATAAATTGATACAGAGTTATTCATATCTATTTCATTGTTTATAAAGCATTGAAATTTCACGATAAACGTATGTCCGACTTTATTATCAGTGTGTAAGTCAAGGTGTATACGGTAATTCTTTTATTATTCATATCTAATTTTACTTTAAGTTCTATTTTATTTATATCTAATTTTACTTTAAGTTCTATTTTATTTATTGTCCAATGGATTATTATGAATCTTATAGCAATATGATTTTGAGAGAACTTACACCTCAATTGCATATACCCTGGTCCATGCCATTTCAACTAGATGATCCACCCATTGTTCCAACCACTTTTGGAAAAATGTAAGTAAGTTTGCTTTTTATTGATATAACATTCCTATCATAAAAATTTGGCATAGCATGTTTTTCAAGATTTTTTTAAAGACATGCCCTTTAATTCATTTAGGATGGAACTACGGTGTGTCATTGCTGTTATAAGACATGGTGACAGGACACCAAAACAAAAAATGAAAATGGAAGTCAAACATTATAAGTAAGACTTGCAAGTTACAGTATTGTCTTTTTTCTAGCAATGCAACTTGTAAATCCTTTTTGAGATCGAAAATAAATTAGATTTTCAAGTTTATCTTCGCTAATATTATTTTTGAACATTTATTTATCGTGTATTTGTTTTTAATTTACTTGAAAAATTTTTGCATGTTTATCATAAAAAAATACTTAAGTTTGTTTAACAATGTTGATTATCGTTAAGCTTTGTGTATTATTAAAAAACTTTCGTTTTTTTCTCCCTTAGTTGTTATACTTAGAATTACATTAATATTAGCTTTTATACAGCTTGCACATTTTTATTATTAATTATTTTTGACTAATAACATCTTGATTTTTGTAATTTTATTAAATAAAGAATGCTTTATTTGTGTTAATTTTATAATGTTGCAACATGTTGAACTAAACGTAACATCGCAAAATGTTAAACATGACACATTGTTTACAGCATTTTTGATAAATAACTTACATCTAGAGAACCTCTAAGTCTCAACAGAAACGAAACCACAGAAAGAAATTACCCCAAGTGTTAACTTGAAAATAAACCACTAAAAGAGACAAACATTTGACAAATATAGGGAACAATATTTTCAAACAAAACAAATATGGTCTATAAATTTATTATACTCTTTAAAAATAAATATACAAAGGTTTGGAATGGATCATTTTAAGCCTAATAAATGCATATCATAGATCACCTTGGTTTTTTGTGGCAGTGTAATATTATCTTTTAAATACCAATAATGTAATGTACCAAAAAGATGGTTTAAATATTTTTTTAAAGCTTTTGCTATTAAACGTGTAATTTTAAATGGAAACAAGTACTTTTTGAGTACTGAAAAAACAACAACTTAACACTTGTTTTTGGAAATAAAAAAAAATGTTTTGAATTAGATTTTTTTTGATTGAATTGTTTAGACTTAGAGGTAGGGCAGCTCTGAAGAGCAGGGCACATCGAGGAGAGGTCTATTGTACCCAAACCCTAAATCATGATTAGCAAAAAAGCTTTATAGCTGAAACAAAGTTCAGCAAACACCTGACAGGAATATCTTGTAATTCCCAGGCCTTAATGCAATGTTGCCCCAAATGCTCATATCTTTGATCAGAATAGACCTCACAATCCCAAAGTATATGTCGTGAAGACTCCTCCACAAGATGACCACCTCAGCAATGAGAGTGCAATGTCCATTGAGAAAACCAATGACATCCTCAAACTATTTCTGTTAAGCTGAAGAAGCTCTTTTTGATGCACGTTAGGGTAGTCACGATTTAGCTGAATGAACAACTTAAGTCAGATGTTTTAATGAGCATTAAAATGTCTTTTTGTTTATGCAATAGCAAACAAGACAGTACTTACAGTTTTTATAATGGAAGAGTTGCTATAATGGAGATACACAATAAAGGACAAAAACTTTATTTGATTGACAATAATATTAAAATTATTTTTACTTAATTATTTTGATGTATTTAATTATATATTTTTTAAATTTATATTCATATATTTATTACATTATTTATACTATTTCAAATATTTTATTTTTTATTCAACTCCATTTATAAATTTGATAAGTTTAAATAAAAAAATTTATCTATAGTGTTTCCTTAATGAATTTTCAAATATTCTCTTAATTGATTTAGATTTTTTGAAATATTTAAAAAATATGGTGGGTATAAAGATGGACATGTAAAACTAAAGAAGCCTAAACAACTACAAGTGAGTTGATATTTTTTAAAAATAACTTTACTTCTTTAAAATTTGAATTAGCTTAATCTTGAAACTTTAATTTTTTTTCTTTTTAGGAAATTTTAGACATCTCTAGATTTTTATTAAATGAAATTGAAATGAAAAGAACAGATCTTGAAATAGAAGAAAACAAGGCAAAGCTTGAACAGCTGAAAGCCGTTTTAGAAATGTAAATACACATTTTTATACATATACATATATATACCTTATTTTAAAAGAGTTTGCTGAAAGGCAAATGTGCTATCACTTCCATTTAAGAGTGGTAAATTTATATAATTTATTTTAATACAAATTTTATCATGTTAACAGCTTATTTTTGAAACTTAACAACACTGAATGTTTATATATATATAATGAATAACATGTTTAACCCTTGTTTCAAGGATTCTTTGTAGTCTGGATAAAATTACTATAGACAGATAAATAGTTTTATCCTTTGTCCTTGTTTTTTCCTGTGTATACTACAAAAAATATGAATTTTAAAAGAAAAAACAGCATCATCAATTATCATTGACACATGCAAGCATTTGAAAATTAGGTGTTCAATAAAATACTTTATTTTACCTAATACCTAATTATGTTGATATGCTCTGTAATAGTCATCATCTTTTTAAAGGTTTAAAATGATTAGAATAATAGCATTTATACCTGGAAAAAAATGTAATAGTTGAACTCTTCTAGCTGTCATAAGTTGTTTCATCCTTTTCAAAAAAGGAAGTGCTGTAAGTTGCCTTCTAAGGTTGGAAAACGTATTAGTGATGATGAAACCTCNACCTTAAGTGCCCAAGGCACGTAGAGGATAAGTAAGTAAGTCTGTAAGTTGCCTTCAGCTTTCTAAGGCATAGGTTGTATTGGGAACATGGCAATATCCATTCTTCAGTTAAAGGAAGGATCAGAATCCGAGGATTAAATAAATGTTTTTTATAAAAACATTCACTTCTCTGTAAAGATGAAAAAAAATGACATGAATCCATGTTAAAATGCCTTTTCTTGTTTGGTTATTTGAGCATAGGATATTGATACATAAGAAAAATGTGTTCTAAATGTGTGACCGAATCAGTGACTGAACTTTAAAGCTCAGTAAAATAAAAAATTTAAGCTTAAAGTCAAAATGTTAATTTAAAATTTTCCATTTACACTTTACAAAATGTTAAGTCTTGTAGTCAGTAGACTTGTCTTGTTTTGAAACTTGTTCTTTATTTTGTTGTAGTTTCTTTAATTATTACAAGCTAGTTATTTACTGCAACCAACATCTGATTTTTATAATATTTTGAATTGATTTAATAAATTTTGTGAGAGGGTAGTGTTATCATTTTTAATGATATGATTATTGCAAACTTGTGTCACAAAACTTCAGCGAAAACTCATTAATGTCTTAATGTATGCTGATAATGCCATACGACTCACATCTTTATGCTATCTCAGTATTTAGTACACTCTCCCTGTGTTTGATATGAGTGCTGATGTTTTTGTCAAGCTCTTCAATTAAAATAAATAGAAACTTGAACTTCTTTAGATTAATGTAACCTTTATCAAAATACCTTTATTGTTAAAATGGTATTCTTAATGACAAATTCTGAGATTTGTAACTTATTTCTTATTGTTCCAGGTATGGCCATTTTTCTGGTATTAATCGCAAAGTACAGTTGAAATACCAGCCAAAAGGAAGACCTCGGCGCTCCAGCAGTGATGAAGGTTCTTAATATTTTCTGATAAATATTATTCCTTAATATTTATAATAGCTATTCCGTAATATTTTTATCTCACTCTATTTTTCAGATACTCCGAGAGAACCATCTCTTGTACTTATCCTGAAGTGGGGTGGTGAATTAACGCCCGCGGGAAGGGTTCAAGCAGAGGAATTAGGGCGTGTCTTTAGATGTATGTACCCTGGTGGACAAGGTATGCTGTAATTGCTTGGCCATTAGCAATTCTGTTATTTTTTCCTTCTTTTCCTTAGAATTTCATCTAGAATGAGATTTTTTTTTTTTGCTGCCTTTATTTACCATCACTGCATAACATTTACATAATACATTTAATGAATTCTCTCAACAATCCTGCACTTTTCTTTTTCTCTCACTTTTACAATACATTTCTTTTTATAAAATATAATTCTAATTTTCCTTGTATAAGACAAACTATAGATTTTATAATTGTTTTTCCAATTGTGTAATAAAACATTTTTGAATCTATAATGACTTTGCAAATAAAATTTTTCCATTCGAAGTTAAAAATTTAGTGGAAGCAAGTGAAATTTTGAGCTTGTTTATTAATTAGCTTTATCTGTATTCAGAATTGAAATTGATTTAAGTTTATTAATTTATAAATTGAAATCATATAGGTTTATCCATTGCTGAATAATATTCAAAATTAGATTTTAATTTAAATCACAGGAAAATGCATTTAGTAGAAGAGGCTAGTTGTCAAATTATTTGGAAATATCTTTGGTGCTGTCTGAAATTAAAAGCTAGTTCCTAATTTATATTTTCTCTTCCAAAAACTTTATATTTGCATTGATAAAAATACTTCAATATTACAGCATTCCACTAGCATTATTTTTTCTAATATTTTACTTCAGCATCGTAGTTATTCACACAGTTTTTACCATATTGAATTTTCTAAATATTCTAAAGTCTTGATTGGTATTTTTAATGTAAAAAAATTGTTTTGATTTTAATGTTGTTATATTATATTTTTATAAAATTATATATTTAAAATTTAATATGTTAAATGAAACAGCAAATTTAATTATTGAACCTTTAAATAAATGGAGATGAATGTGGGTTATACTTAAAACACAATTATAAATGATAAACATAAATTACATTCAATGTAACACATAGCTTTTCGATTTATGTTAAGATTTCATTTACTTTAAGATCTAGGTGTCTGGATTGTTTTAAGCTTCGTGTGTTGCCTTTCTTTCTGTTTAATTAATATACTACAGGGGTGCACAACCTTTTTCCATGAAGGGTAACTTGCTCAGCAGGTTGACTAATGATGGGCTGCACACATGTTTAGTCATGTTGGCAAAAATGATAATTTTTATACTTGCATGTTTAGTCAAATAGGATATTTTTTGTGTAAACAATAGTGCACTAAGAACTAAATTTTTTATCAGTAAACTTAGTAATGTATTTGCAGGAAAGGAAATGCTAAAAATTATTAAAAATTACTAAACATTATTCAAAAATGGAAAAACATGCTTTTTCAAATTTTTTCCCTTTTACCAATTACTGATTGATCAATAATATATATGAAAGAAAAATATTCATTCTGACAAAAAAGGAAGAAAAAATATGTAATGCTCAAACAATGAAATATTATTTCTATTTCTTGAATTTCTAGAGTTTTTATAGATTTTAAATAAGAAAAGCTTTCTTTCTAAAAATGAAGCACCTATACTAAAAGAATTTAAAACAAAATTAAAAACAGTGAGCAGTTTAAAAAATGTGAGTTTTCCTCCACTTTTCTAAATTTTCTTGTTGCAATAACAATGCATTAAAATATCGGAATTCTAAATGTTATGTGCAAATGGCTAAAAAAACGATGGAAAAATAACTTATGGTTACAATGAAATATGCATAAATTTCATGAAAAAGTTATTATTTAAATGCACTTTTATTAACTCGCGTGTCGCTACAACATCATAGTTAAAATAACGGGATTGTCAAATTCACATGAAAAAACATCGCAATAATTACAACAACAACAAAAAGAACAAAAAATCGCTTTAATTTATGATGACATCCACACGAATAAAGCGCGTCTGTAAGTAATTATTTAAATGCATGATATTAAAATCGCATATTGTAAAAGAAATAGGAATTTTTAAAACCACATGGAAATGCATTGTAGACACTGATGAAAAAGTAACTAAAAAATAACTTGGATTTTCGATAAAATTGGCAAAAACGAAGCGTGTCAAAAAGGGAAATTTAAATGTGTCATTTGAACCTGGTACAATAATATCCACTAATATTATCATACTAAAAATACAAGATTTTCATAATCACATGAAAAGGCGTAGCAGTGACTACCTTCAAAAAAGATCTACAATAATTGAGATTTACAATGAAATCGGTATAAATCTTACAAAGGAATAAATTAAATGGCGACTTGATTCGTAATACTGTAATTGGCTATCGAAATGAAGTACAGGTAGCATAGAGCAGAACTCTCTACCTATGGCAATGTTTTGCATGCTTTCACCATTTAGGAAACTTTATGGAACTGAAAATAACATTGAGCATAGTTCTAAAAGAAAGCATTGTGGAAATTTAAAAAAATATTTGTGGCAATTAAGTACGAAAAATATTGAGAAAAGGGAAAATATAGTAGTATTTTCCTATACAACTGAGAAGAGGAGGAAAGGGGGGAGGGTCAAGCCATGGAACCAGTCTTCTCACCAGATGGCATATTAAAGCGTTGGGAACATATATAGATCTAATGGGATTTTGAAAACCACATGGATATTGTGCGCTACAAAAAACGATCAAAACGTCACTTGAATTTGTGATGAAATCAGCAACAATAAAGGAAACAAATCTAAGGCAAACAACGTTAATGAACACAAAAATATTTATAAAATACAGACAGCTGTTTCGGATGCTCAAAAGGCAACCTTCATCAATGCAAAAGAGACTTTCTGTTGCACTGATGAAGGTTGCCCTTTAAGCATCCGAAACAGCTGTCTGTATTTTATAAATATTTTTGCGCTCTTTAACGTTGTTTGCCTTAGTTTTGTACTTTAGCAGAAAGGTCGCCCACTTGTGTATTTAACAATAAAGGAAGTCAAAAATAATTACTTAAATTTTAAATTTGTGAATCGTAATATCGTATTAAAAATATTGAGTTTTTTAAAACAATGCAGAATTTGCGCAAATTGAGCGCATCAGAAAGTGATTGATTAAATGTGCGATTTAAAATTTTCGATATTTTTATTTTTTTTAAAAAAAATTTCATTGTGTTCAGACGGAAGTCAAAATTAATTACTTAAATTTTAAATTTGTGAATCCTAATATCGTATTAAAAATATTGAGTTTTTTAAAACAATGCAGAATTTGCGCAAATTGAGCACATCAGAAAGCGATTGATTAAATGTGCGATTTAAAATTTTTGATAATTTTATTTTTTTAAAAAAAAATTTCATTGTGTTCAGACGCTCTTCCGGGCTACAGGTTGTACACCTCTATACTACATAAATCAGGTGTTACCAAACCTATGCATCTGGGCATCATTGATCGTTCAATACTTGATATTTGTACACCTCTGTGTAATCGTGTCAAAATTCTTTGAAAAAGTATAAATTCCAAGTATAAACTCATCTTGAAAAATAAATAGTCCCTGCTTTCTGATCAGTGTGCTAGAATGTGTCTTTATCTACAAAAAGTTTAGGGACTCCTGATTTATGTAATGTATATTTTAAAAGAAATCATATTTTAAGAAATAAATGTAAAAAAATTATTTTGTGAATTTTTTTTATTGTAAAGTTTGCTCATTGTCTACGAAATTTTATCAATTTTTTTGTTCGTGATTTGTGTTGCTTTCATTGTTTAGATATGCATGTCATATGGCCATTTCATTTTGAAACCTATCCTCAGTTTAGTCTATATATATATATATAATCACTTC